CACGCCCCCCCATCCACGCCCCCCACCTGCAGGACCCATCTGAACAGCACCCTGCCGCCCTCCGCCGCCACCACCCAGTCCGCGCCGATCTCGAAATCGGACAGCGCGTCCCGCCAGCCCCCCATCATGGCGGCCATGCCGGCGACCCCCTGCCTGCCGCCCAGGTCGATCAGGCCCCAGTACTCATAGGAGGGGTCAACAATGGACCCCAGGCGACCCAAGTCACCTGCTGCAGCAGCAGGGAAGGGTGAGCAAGACAGCGCCAGACGGTAAGCGCTGGCTGAAGATCGCCCTGGAAGGGCGGCTCGGCTCAAGCCGCCGCATGCAGCACGGTTGCGTGAGGCTCTCCATGCGAGGCCACTGCTCAAGCGACCCGCCTCCAAGTGACGATGTTCGCCTCGCTACCCACCGCTGTTGTAGATCTTAAAGTATTGCTGCACCACCGCCTTCCACTGCTCAGGGCCGCCCTCCGCCGCCGCTGCCGCCGAGGCTGCCGCAGCCGCACCCTCCTGCGCCGCTGCCCCTGCCCCTGCCCTGGCTGCGGCCGTGGCATTACCAATTGCAGGGGCCGCCTGTGGGGCTGCGGGCACCGCTGAGGGGGCGAGGCCGATCTGCTCGTACAGAAACAGGGGGTCCCACGAGTGCCAGGCGGCCACCACCACAAAGTTGTGTCCTATATTGCTGCCGTCTACAGCTTCGCTTGGCACCGCTGCGCCCGCTTCGACGGCCGCCGCCGCCGCCTCAGTCGGCCGCAGGCGCAGCACCAGGCTGCCGGTCCATGAGACCGCCCTGCCTGTTGGCGCGACCACCGACGCTGCCGCATCGGCTTCATCGATTCCGGCTGCACCCCCATCGTCGTACAGCGTGCCGCGCAGGTCGCCGTCGTGCGTGCCGGTCGCTGAGTAATAGATTAGTACGTGATGGCCCTCTGCTGACGCCACCTCGGTGACCCGCAAACGCAGGTCCGGCAGCGCAGCGCGGAGGAAGCTTCCCAGGGCGGCGGCGGCCGCGGGGCCGCGGAGGGGCTGGCGCGGGACCAAAGTGTCGTACCACGTGACCTGCGGGTTGCAAGGGCGCCGCCGGGTGGTTGGGTGGGTGGCTGACGTGCACGGCAGCACGCCTACAGCGCCGCGTTTGCACTGGTACGGATTGGCGGGGCCCGACAGAGAAGATATCATGCCCATTCTCTATCCCTGTTTTGGGCCCCGTGGCCGGCAGGGCCTTGCATTGTCAAAAAGCAGCACTTTGCCCACCAAGCGGCGGGCGGGCGCCCTGAAGGGGGCTTAGTGGGTCCATCACCTGCTCATCCAGGACGTCAAGAGCGCCCTTGGAGGCAGCTTCCGAGCCGCTGCTGCCGTTGCAGGCGAGGCTGTCCTCCACCAGCGCGGTCACGGCTGCCCCGACGCCCGGATGGCCATGCAGCCAACCCACTGTGGCCATGCGCACTGTCTGGCAGCCCGTGCGCCTGGTGCTGGGCTGGGAGCCCGGCAGGTGGCACTGCTGGTAAACCAAGACTTGGGCAGTCTGCAGTTGCGGATGGTGCACGACAGTCAATAAGGTGCTGCCTGCACGCGCGTGGGTGCTGCAGCGCTGCGATGCTGGTGCGCACCCGCAGTGCAACAGCAGCAGCTCGAGCTGAGCAAGTGCCGGTGCTGGCCCCCTCACGCGGTGTGCAGTTGCTGCCACAGCCTGCAATGGACCCCCGCACAATTGGTGGAATACAATTGGCCAGATGTGGCTAATCTGTGCCGTCTCTGCCTGATGAGTGCCGGGGTTGGGCAGAGAGGCCAGGTCAAGAAGAAAATGGTCAAGCAAGCAAGATGCTCGCTAGCTGCTGTTTATCAAATGCAACTGGTGTTGTGCGTCATTTATTGTTCGGCACCCAAGGCAGCGTAAAGCATTCGGCAGATCACACAGTGTTCCGCGATCTCACTGCCAATGTTGTGATTTATTGGCTCCAATAAGTATCATAAATACCTATCAGAGCCTGTCAAAGTCACAGCGCACCGCACGCCGCTGCAGCGACACACCGGACGCGCCCCGGGTGCAGCTGCAGCGGCGTGCGCGCCTCCACTGCAATGGGGGTTTTCGCTCGGCGTTTGTTCTGGAGCGTCCCAATAGCCATTACCTTTACAGATGCGGTGAGCAGCAGGCACACCTGCATCTCACGCCCACATTGGCAGCACCTGTCAACCCACGATTTTCACACGCACAAGCTGCAGCAACTTGCTGGCATGCGTGGAAAATATGCCGCACCTTCCCCCTTCACACCTGCCTGTGCGCGTAACAGCTTGCGAGCGTGATACGCGTCGACGGCGCCTCGATGCAGCCGACGCTCAACCCGCGCGGCGCGGGCGAGCGCGACTGGGTGCTTGTTGAGAAGTGGAGCGTCAAGGTCATGCACCGCCACGAGCGCGGCGACGTGGTCGTGCTCTGGTGAGGCGCAGCAGCAGGGACTGGGGAAACAGCAGGGGCCGACGCGGTGGCAGTCGGGGAGGCGCAAGCTTACAGCATGCGAGGCTGCGGCAGCGCGGCCGACAGGCGCACGGTGGTCGTAAATGGGCGGCATCGCCGCTGACAGGCGGGCCACCCCCTGAACAGCAGGCGCCTTTCCTGCCGCGCCCCGCCGCAGGGCCCCCGACGCGCCCCACCAGCAGATTGTGAAGCGACTGCTCGCGCTGGAGGGGGACACGATTGACGTGCCAGGGGAGGGCGCGGTCACGGTGCCTGAGGTGGGGGTTGGGGCAGATGGGGAGCGGGCGCCGACGCGGCCCGCGGCCGAGGCGATGCCAACCCAGAGCAGCTCTGTGGCTAAGGGCACTGCAGGGATGCTGCTGGTCGTGACCAGTGTGCTTCGTGGCACTGCATGTGCAAGCGGGGCTACGTTGATATGCATGAGGCAACGCTGCTGCCGGCCTGGAATCCCGGCGCCCCCGCGACTTTGCTGTCTCTCCAGGGCCGCTGCTGGGTGGAGGGAGACAATGGCAAGGAAAGCCTCGACTCACGCTCTGCCTACGGCCCGGTGAGGCGCGCGCATGCAGACGTGTGGTTGTCGTGCATCGCATGCGCATGCATGGCGCTAGTGCGTTGCAGCAGGCGTTGTGGCAGCAGTGGCGAGCCTTATGGTGCTGATGCGCTGGTCCCTACCTGCCTCCGCTGGTCCCTACCTGCCCCTCATCCCCCCTTTCCGTTGCCAGGTGCACATGGGTCTGCTTGAGGGGCGCGTGGCGTACATTGTGTGGCCCCCCTCACGCATGCGGCGCGTCAAGCCGGCATGCCCCCCTGGGCGGCTGCTGCACGCCGCCGGCGCCGGCGAGCCCGATGCGCTGTGAACGGGGGGGCGCGTGTTCGTCCCCTGTTCAGCCTCCCTCAGGGACGGGTTTAGTCACTTGAACTTCCAAAACGCACAACAGGCGTCTGTGTCCTTTTGCCCTGACAGCATGTGGCTCGCACCCTTGGTCGGCGTGGGCAAGCCTAGCAATCCAACCCCCTTTGGCAGCCTGTTCATCAAACACACGCACACATGCACGTGGGAGCGGCGCCAGGCACGTTTTCAGTCAAGAAGTTGGTGGTGCTGGCGCGTGCCCGTTCTTGCTCTCACGCGCGGCTTGTCGCCTTACGCTGAGGTCCCACCTAATGTGGTGGCCGCCGGCCACTTTGTCTACTATGCTTGCCCCTCTGTAAAATTAAGCGTGGACGTCAAGCAGCCAGTACCTCAACACCACCTGTGCGGTACTTAATGGGAGGGGCAGCGTGTGTGCAGCCCTGGCTCCCTTCGATCAAAAGGGCCACAGGCCCTTGCGCCACGGGCGAAACATGTGCTGCTGCATGCTGTGACACGCAAGTTTTCGTCAACATGACAACATGGCTGGCTGAGCAAAGGTTCAGGGCTGCGGCCTCATCAACAGCCGGGCGCCGCGCCATGCTGCAACTGAAGGCAACACCTGCCCGCCTCGCTGGCGGCTCGGGTGACCCAAAGGAAAGGTGCTTGCCCCTCCGCGCACCCGCATGCCTGTGCCACTGACATCGGCAGGGCTTGTTCAGGCACGTTCCTATACACTGAACGTATTAATGCGACGCTGATAGTTGCTGTCGCTCCCTCATCAGCCGATTACGACTGTAGACTGTTGCGCGACCCCCATACCCGTGTCGCTTGTGCCGCCCTCCATTTTCATATGTTGCTTTGAAGCTGCTTATACATTCATTTGCATCTACCGACGCCGTTTTGGAGGCCCGCTCTCGTTGATCGATCTCGCAACTCCAGCCCCGCGCCCAACATGCAGACGTCAATCGGACGCACCGCCGGGCGCGCCCCTCTCGCGCCCACAGCACCCCTGCAGCGCCCGCGGGCCCGCGTCGCCGCTCGGGCCTACCTCGAGCAGGAGCGCCGCGCGGCCGGCGCCGCGCCCGCGGGCTATGCCAACCAGCTTGAGGCCCTCAAGGCCATGAGTGTGGTGGTGGCTGACACCGGGGAGCCCGACCTGGTCAAACTCTACAAGCCAGGTGGGGCCCCGCTGCAAGGCGCGTCGCGGGGGCCCTAACCCCCAGTTGACCAGACGGTTTCGCCTGCGTGGCGGGCCAGCAGTGCGCTCGCGCGCGCATGGCTGGCGAAGCCGCCCTCGCCCGCTGCCCACCATCGCGGCCGCACCCACGTGAACACCATCAGCCCCTACAATTACACTGCCCCACAAGCTCTGTCGAAACC